CTTTAAGAATCACTTTGGCGAGACAATTTATGAAAAAATGGTAGTTAAATTGGGAAATAGTCCAAATGTGTTGATACCATTTGCACTTGGTAAAAAAGTTAAAGATTTGAAAATAATGCCAGAATTAATTAACAGTTACTGGGCAATCGATTCTAAAACAACAGCTTCAAATTGTATTTCAACAAAAAAAGGAAAAGTGAGAGAAAAAAAATGTATTCCAAAAAAATAAATGGTTCGGGAATGAAATTTGAAATTAAAGTGAACGTACAAGGATTTGTTTTAGATTCAAATGTTTGTGAAGGTTCAATAAACGATTCAAAATTGCACAGTTGTAACAGATCAATGGTTAAACCTGGTGAATTTATTTTGGGAGATTTGGGATATTTGAGAAAAGATGAAGATTATATGGATGTTCCAATCAAAAACGCAAAAAGTGAAATATGCGAAGAAAAACGTGATTTTTATCACAAGTTTAACAAAGTCCATTCCAAGTCAAGGAATGTCGTGGAACACGTTTTTGCGTCTTTGACAAATCAATTTCGTATTTTTAGATCAGTTTTTGGATTCAACAAGGAAGACTTTGGCTATCTTGTCAGAATTGCATTAACTTGTTATAATTTTTTATTGCCAAGAAAACCAGTTATTGATTTTTCTAAAACAATTCCATCTTTTAAACATAACGATGAAGAATTGTATGTATTTATTGAGAAAGAAATGGACAACCTGAATGAAATATCAAAGTATGAGACGAATGTCAATGATTCAATTTTGAATAATTTTATAAAAAAGTCAAAAAATAGTCAAATTGACAATTCTATTCCTGAATTTAAATTACGTGAAATTGATAAATTTTCAAGTGAATTATTAAAAAGAAAAAAAGAAAAAGTTGAAAATTATTATTTCAATTTGTTCAGTGAAGAAAATATGCGACAAACGGTACAAAGAACAGATGAAAATTTGTTATTTTTAAAAAGGGAATTTTCTTTACTCAAAACTTCTATTGAAGAAATACACCATTTAATCGGAAAAACATGTCAAACGAATAACAATAGTCACAAGTCAGCAGAAAATGAAATATCAATAATAAATAATACACAATTATCAAGTTGTAAGTCTTTAATAGAGGAAACACAGAAAACCAACCAAATAATAGACTGCAATAATAATGTCAGTGATATTTCACTTGATTTGGATAAAAAAACGTTTTTATGTGATGAAATGGAAACGATTATAGAGACAGATCCAATTTATCGTGTTAAAAACGGAAAATTAAATGATGACGATATCTTGTGTCTATCATCTCAAATTTTGAATTATGTACACACTAATAATTCTATTGTAGCATCTACATTTTTCTTTGAAAGCGTTTTTAATACATTTGACAAAACAAATAATGATAATTCCTTAATAAACAGTCACAGAAACCTGGATTGTTATTTAAACCAAAAATACATATTTTTCCCTTTATTCTCCGGTCTACGTACAAATGGTCATTGGTCTCTATTAATTTTACATAAACATGATGATGGATTTGAATCATTTATCGTGGATAGTCTTGGAATTGAAAAATACAATTTCAATACCCAAATTTATTATTTGGACAAAATAAAAACATTTTTTTCTTGTCTTATGGGATTTTCGATTGAAAAACACAAAATTGAAAATGCAATATTAATTACTGATGTTGTTAGCCAAGAGAATGGAACAGATTGTGGTCGATTTGTACTGTTTTATATTTATTCAATATTAATTAATCAGAACGAAGAAATACCAAAAGTGCTAAGTAAACTCACTTTCAGTCATTTTCAAAAATTTGTAGATGATTATTTATCAAGTGGTTTAAATTTTGGTAATAAAGAACAATTCATACCAAGTTAATAATTCAATTATCGTTGTGTTCATTTTTTGAATATTTGCAATAAATTGATAATCAAAATGAAAATTGAAAAAGTCGAAAACACTGATTTTCTAAAAATGTATTTTTAAAATAACAAATTTATTAATAATTTTGTAATTTATGCAATTATTCAAATTTATTATAATAACAAAGTTAATCATATTGTGTATATTTTAATATGATTGTTTCATTTTGATATTAACTTGTGTTTTAAACAGATTTACAGTTCTGAGGATGGCAATTATTTTCTGAGGATGACAGAAATAGAAAGTTTACACTTTTACATCTGTCTGAAGTGTATATTGAATAAGTTACTATTTTTGAACCATGGGAACA